GTTAAACAGTCCATCTCTGCAGCTACGCTTAATCAACTCTGTGGATTATGTCAGGAGGCAGTAAAAAATTTATATTTTTTAACGGGCATTTATTTTATTGCTAATTTTTTTGTATTTTTTATTTATTTTACCTGTTTTATTGTTTTTTTGTTCAGCACTTTGTGACGGTTTTATCTGTATAAGGTTGTTAAAGCAGCAACCTGTGCATGCCTTCTGAACCGTGTTACTCCCTTAAATCGTAGCCAACACTATAAAGTTAGAGAGAGTTGTTCTCAAATGTTTTTTTTTTTTTTTTTTGTTAATTCTGAGAAATGTAAACCAGAGAAGAAGCCATTTCTCAGCTTTACGACAAAGCTACAAGGATCCAGCAACACCTGAGCTCTGCTGTTCCCATTGGTGCAGAATCATTTTATGTTGACGTTGACATGGTAACTAGCAGCAGTGGTGGTCAAAAGTACACACATTTGTTACTTAAGTAGAAGTATAGATACTGCATATAGAAAAAAACACTGGTAAAAGTTGAAGTATCAACTTGACCTTTTTACTCAAGTAAAAGTGAAAAAGTATGTCCTCCGAAGAACTACTTAAAGTATAAAAAGTATAAAGTAACCTTTAAAAAAAACAGCCAGATGCCACTACATGAATTGCAAGCTCAATTTTTTGACTATTTTGAAAAATTCTTTGAGATTGGTCTCCGTCTCCCGATACGCTCTCGCCTGTTTCCGACCTTTCAGACATTTCAACATCTTTTTCTGAATCCCACATTGTAGCATGGCATAGACAATTCATGTTTACAGTTTGAAGAACACCTGATTGCTTCTGATGATCTCCTTTAGCTAACCAATGAGTGTTTGCGTTATATGACTCATCCAATTACACTAGATTTCACTAGATGTGGATGGAGCCAATGATCTGCATTGGATGGAGCACATGTCGTGAAATAAATATTTATAATCATTAAACCGAAGCTTGTTTTAAAAATGTAAGGAATAGAAAGTACAGATACTTGTGTGAAAATGTGAGTAGAAGTCAGAAGTAGGAAGAAAAATAAGTAATGGAGTAAAGTATAGATACCTAAAAAGTGTACTTAAGTACAGTAACAAAGTATTTGTACTTTGTTACTTGACACCTCTGACCAGAAGTAAATATTTACATAACTTGGACCCGTCAAATATAATACATTTTCTTTTCAATAACATTAATACTTTTATCTTGCTCTCTTCTAAATGTTCTGCGGATGTTTTAGTTGTAAAAAATGTAAAGTTTTATAGTTCGGACCTTTAAATATGAAGGAGTTGTAAGATGTACTTTAGGTCTGTCAGCAGGAAAAACTAACGCCCCCATTTTCTTTCTCACTAGGATCTAATTACTGCTGCTTGGATCTGAGCCTTTAATTAATGCGAAACAGGAAACGCAGCAAAAATGGAAACTAATTGAGGAGAATTTGTAATTCAAAGTGTGTTGTTTTAAAGATGAGAGCAGATCAAATACAGCCCACACTTTTAAGAGACTGGCTCCCATGGGTGGGTGGGGGGGAGGTCTTCAGCTGTGCGCTTCGATTGTCTGTAGTGGGTCCACAAAGGGGCCACGGCCTCCATTTCAAGCTGCAGCATCAAAATGAAGCTTTATATAGAGCAGAATAATGATGTGGGTTCATGCTGTGAGAAATAGTCCTTTAATAAGGGAGGTCTGGAGGAGACGAGTGCTGCCCAGAGTCTGCATTAATGCAGCGAGCAGGAATCATTTAGAGACGAATCACTCAGACTCCAACTCCATCGATTTCACTCCAACACACAATCACAGCTGTTAACGCCGTTCTTTCACCTCCAGGACCAAAATGCTTTCTAAACCGCCGAAGGAGACCAACCTTCATGCAGGCCTGACGTTAAGAAAGGCAGTAAAATAAATTTATGGTCATCGGGGTCATAAATCAAACCAACAGCTGAAACATGTTTATTATATTTATCTCAGGTGATGCCCAGTCTGCAGGCGCTGGGCTTCTGTTAAATTAAGTTCTATGGACAGATTAAGGTTGTTGAGTGAAGATCATTATAGAACCCAGATCAATGAAAGTAGAGGAGCTGCTCCCATCTGCAACCACAGTGGAAATACTTTCACAAAGTGGTAAAAAAACTGAAAGTTTCTCCTCTTTCCTTTTAGATCAGTACTTTGCACATTTACTTCAACCTGCAGAAGAATCTGGATCATCTAGGTTTGGTAGATCTATGATGGTGGCAATATGGAGGAGGCTGGTGACAGACAGACCTGTCAGGTTCCTGGTTTAAGCTGCTTTTATAAAGTGCAGATTGTGAACATCGCTCCATGTTGCATGTAAATCCCATCAACCAGGAAAGGCGAGGATAAAAAAAAAACAGAACCCTGGGAACGGACCTTTAGGAGAACCAGAGCTGATGTTCCTCAGCAGCAGGTTTCCAAGTTAGGCTGAGAGGAGAACCCAGAGAACCTTTGATGTTTGGGTTTGCATCAGTTTATGCCATAATGCTGATGGTCACACCTACAACTTTTTCATCACAATGATTTTATAAATGCATTCACAATAACTCTAGTGGTTTTCTGTTTTATACATTTTGAAAGTCCAAAATATATATTTACTTCCGGTTGCTATGCCGACATCCACAGGAATTTGCTCCAATAGGAAGAGAAGAATAAAATCATGTGAGACGTTTCTGTAGCTCTGAGCTCGAGAGCCTTTAGGATTGTTTCTGCTCCTGGATTCATATTTGAGGTCCGATCTTTAAAAAGAACAGTGATGGAGGAAGGAATCAGAAAAACTCTGCAACTTTGATCCATATCCTCTCCTTAATTGTTCCTCAGTGCGGAAAAAAACGAAGATTAACATTTTAAGTTTTTGTTGTTGTTGTGGGGTGGTGGCGGCTTCGTATTTAGGGCATAGAAAGCTTGGAATCCTGAGGTTGTGAGTTTGAAACCCACAGACTGCCACTCTGGGTCCCTGAGCGAAGACTGCTCAATGCTCCCCAAAGGGATGGGTTAAATGCAGACAGTTAATTTAATTGTGCTGTACTTGTGAGTGTAATGACAGCAAAAGCTATTAGAAAAATTATTGAAAAAAAGTCAAAAAGCCAAAGGCAACATTCATGAAAAATTAAAAGATTAAAAAATCCTTGTGCAAAAAGAGCAATAGAAACATTTACTGGGTTTGTTGGGAGCAGTGATGGCTTTAACTTTTTTCTTTGGGTCAAAGTTCATTTAAATGTTCTCAAGAATCAAAGCATAAAATAAAAAGAATTATACAAGTTTTCGTATTTCTTTGCCCGCTCAACATAAATGAACATGCAGTATTTCAATTACCGGTACAAAACTTTCTGTAGTGGACGTACATTTTGATCTAAAACAAAAATGTTTTTGCACTTTCAACTGTATGTAAGCTTTAACTCATTTAATAAGATTTTCTGCTATAAGAAAAGCAGATTTTGGTCAAAGTTATTAGATGTGGTCCAGTTTACAATTAAATCAAAGACAAAAGATGATCTTTGTTTTGCATCTAAATGTTTTGGTTGCAGGAAGATTGGAACTTCTCTCTAATAAAATAAAATGATGGGAGGAAGGATCTGTGATAAGGCTGCTCTATGTTCACCTCTGCCCTCAGGACTAATTAAGCTGAAATTAAAACGCCAACACAGTTAAATGCATTTGATCAAAATATTTTCTTTATTCTGCAACAGAATCGAACATGGTGGAGTTCCACTGATTCATGACTTCAGCTCAAACAAACAAATTCAGAATTTACAACCAATGAACTTCAGCAACCGATACGAGAACATAAAGTGTAGCGTGAAGGAGCGAAACTGGAGAGAATATTGAGAAAAGCTTGAAGCAGATGAGGGAGAACGAGATGCCCAGAAAGAGCAGTTCAGCTGGACACGAGGCTTTGGACAATCGGAACGTTAAAAATAAAAACTAAGGGTGGAAGAAACTCGTCTTTCTGGGCGTCCCGTAGTTTTAAGCATCAAACTGACAGAAAAAAATAAGACAAGAAGTTTGAGCTGCAAGCAGTGAGGTTAGATTTTCTCATGATTCAATTCAGATCTGAAAACACCATAAACAGACAAAGAACAGCTGTTTTCCAAAGACATCTTTTTAACAGTTTTCATTTATTACACAAAAAAACAACAGTCAAGTACCAAATATGCATGCTGGATCTGTAAAAGGGGAGAACGGGACGGGTGCCATATACAGTCTTTAAAAATCTTTTTTTCTTTTGATATTTATTTATTTATATATAAGAAGCCGTTCCTCATCGAAGCTGTGCTGGGTGACGTAGTTTACAAACGCAGTGGTAAGAACACAACACGACTCCTCTGGGAGAATCAGACTTATTCAAACCTTCACTGCAAATAAAACTTTGCAGAGCTGCTCGACGGTGAGGAGTAACGACAGACAGTCGCTGTCTTTAACAGTCCTGGGATGGTTGTGAGTAGAAACGCTCAGGCGCCGACCTAAGTCTGGGTCCCGGAGATAAATCCAGGAAAGAGTCGAGTTTTCCCAAAAGAGGAAACCTCAACTAAACAGTCGGTGGAAAGTAAACTTGATCAAACGGATTGTTTTGGTACGTTTTGCTAACTTTTGCTTCGCTTTTACTTCAGAGCCATGAGAGAAGTTCCACCTGCAGGGGGAACCCGGTGCATGAAACAAAAAAAAAAAAAAAAAAAGGTGCTTCTGTCACATGAAAGCGGCGACAAGGAGGAGGAATATTGCAAAGAGAGAAAAAAATAAAAATCATCCAACAGAAACCTCAGTCTTTACTTATAAAAATCCAACTAATGGGGAAATACTTTTCTTCCATTTTTATCTTTTTTATCAACTCTACATTTGATTTGACTAAATAAATATATAACTTATTCATCTACGTAAAAACATTCTGTTTTCCTACTTTATGATGAATTTCATTTGTTTTATTTATGAGGTTTATTTTAAATTCATCAGCAGGTGAAACTTTATCAGACTGTTGAGGAAACTTAATCCATAAATATTATAATAGACAGATCTTCCATTTAAAAAAAATAAATAAAAGAATCAACCATTAGATAGGAAGAAATTGTCTCAATATAAAATTTTTATATTAAAAACAAGCGCTCTGGTTCATTACAATAAACAAAAAAAGACTAATTTCGCTCCAAACTGATTATCGACATCCTGAAACTAAACCCTGAATTTTGGAAACTGAGGCAGAGATTTCTGCAGGACGATTTTCTGAAAAGAAAAACTCGGCCCAGACTCCTGCTGCGGTCATCATGTGCAAATAGAGAGAATTGCATGAGTAGGAGAGCTGTGACGCTGCCGGTTCTGCTCGTTTTCTCCTGAAATCCCCGACAAAAGACAGATTTTCATCACAGCACACAGACTAGAGGTGTCCAGATGGAGTAAAGTCTGACCTCTTAACCTCTGGAATGTAGGATTTTACAGACGGAACCAAACATCATTTCCCAGCAGTTTCTGTCTGTTAAAGCAAATAAAAATCCTCTAATAAAGGAAAAGATTCAAACTAAAATCTTTGGTTTAAATGTTTCAGGGACAAAAAACGAGCTGTCAAACTGTTCCTCCTTTTAGCTTCATATAAACTGTAAATATAGATCTATATCTGTACGATAAGACATCTCCATGTAAGCAGACATCACAGGTAAATGTGTGCAACTTCATGCGAGCCCTGCATGAAGGGAAAACCCATCGGACCTCTGAGAGCGGCGGTCCTGCCTGGAACCAATACTGTACATCATCTGGGATAAAACTCTGCTCGGCATAAACGGAGGGAACTCTTCTTCCTCTAAACTTTAATAAATTCTCATAGAAAGACATTCAACGGTGGCCGACCGACACTTCAAGTAGTACGAGTTTGGGGAGGTCCCCATGCAAACAGCTAGAAAGGGTCAGAACCCTGCGGTGCTGGAGGAAGGAGAGACCAAATAAACGAGGAGAAAAGTGATCCAAAAGAACCCTGATTTGTTCTGGATTTTCCCGAACCGCTGGCTTCATTCCGGAGTCCGGACGGTAAACCTGAAAACACCTGAGGGATAAAAACCGGAAAATTCCCCGTCTGCTCGGCCCGGTTCCCCAATAGCACCTGCAGAGGTTACCGGGCGGTCAGAGACGACTCAGACTGGTCCGAACTCGCCTTTGTACATTCGAGAACACGTTCTGGTTCTGCCGCTGTCCGGGATGAGAAAACAGAGCGGATAGAGACAGGAAGGAGGAACCGGACCGGTTCCAGTACTTTGTGCTGTTTGTTCTGCAGAAATAAAAGAGGCAGAGTCTGTGGTACCGCTGGAGGTCCGCCTCATCCGGTCCCATGGAACCGTTTTGTTGTCGGAGAAACTCAGAAACTCAAACATCCAAAGTTTGGAGGATTTCAGGAAGTCTGACATGAAAACAGCATCATTCAGTCTGAGCGGCACAGAACCGGTTCCGGTTCAGCTCCTCTTCCGTGAAATCCCCCGCTCAACAGCTTCCAATCTGGATTTTCTTCCAACTTGTCCGGTCAGACACACATTCACACCAATCTCTGGCTAACTGTCCTTTAGCATAGTTAGCAGAGGGAAGGCGGCGCCTTCGTCTGGGTCAGAACTGGGTCCATCTGGGACAACAGGCCAAACCTTCACAGGAAGGAAACTCTCCACTTACATTTCTTCCAACACTTCTGAAAGCCAGTGATCTGCTGGACGGGTTCAGTCCAAACGGACCGTTTTATGCTAGAACCTGTTTAACTCCTCACCTTTGGTTGTTTTAAAACATTTAGCGGTTTTCCTTCCAATGGGACTAAAGCTGCAGCTAATTTATGATGGTTAAAACCAAACATTCATCTAAGTAAGAATCTTTGGAACCTCAGATATGATCTGAACTTCAAATAGATTTTTTTTTTCTAATTACCACTACTGTTCCTGAACAGCAGACAGTTTTAACTTTGACTTAATGATCTTAGTATTGACTCAGTTCTGCTGCAGTTTTTAGTTCAACCACCAGATGTCAGTAAAGATTTGAACCCGTCTCATCTGCTGGAGCTTTTTCTAAACCCATTTAGAAATTGGGTCAAACGGTACCTTTAAGTTCAGCTCTGGTTCTGGTCTAAAAATCTGTAAATTTAGGTGTTAGACGGCTGGTCGTCTCTATTGGGCTTTTAGCAGGTGGATCTGAAGTAACTGATGCTCAGAACCAGAACCAGTTTTAACTGGTTTCTGGATTCCTCTAATCTAAAGCATCTGATTTGGTTTGAAGAGCTCGTTCCTGGAGGGTGAGGCCTAATAAAGCCCTGAAGCTGGCTCCTCCTCTCCCAAACATGGGCCATCCTTTGGTCTCTGGTTCTGGTCGCTGCCGTTTTACTCACCAGAAAAAAACAAAAACAAAAGAAAAACAGCAGCCTGTTTTGCTACATTTGTCCTCTGACCGACGGAGGAGGAACCGAACCGTGAGCCGTTCTGTGGGGAAGGAGCAGGATGGCGGGTAGCAGCGGGGTCGACCTGAAGCTCCTTCTTCGTTTCCGTCCTTCAGTCGCTCCCCAACTTCACATTCACAAACATTTCAAACCTCCTTGTGCAAATCAAGCAGTCGTTTTGAAGAATGCCCTCTGAAGAAGTTCTTGTAAAAATAGTTTTGCTGATGCAGTCGAGGCGGCGGGTGTTCAGTCCGTTCTCTGTGAGGCTCCGCCCTCCTGGGGTTCATCTGCAGATGGAGGGCGTATGTGCGTAAACGGGGTGGGTGAGGCGCACGTTGAGCGAGTCGTTGTGCTGCACCAGGGAGGTGTGGCGGTAGTGGAGGACCAGTTCTTTCAGGCTGCCGTAGAGGTTGAAGGGCTCGGCGAAGCCGAAGCCCCGCGGCGTGCTGTGGATCATGCAGTGTTTCACCTCGCCGTCCACCCTGAGGAGAACAAGCACAGGTTCAGTCTGAGGGTTAGATCTATGACTGGACATGTTCAACAAAACCTGCAGCTGGTTCTAGTGCAGAACCCCAAACAGAGCCCATCTCTAACAGGTTCTGGTTTTTTAGGATCAAACTTTACAGAAAACAGGTCCAGCTGAGCGGTTCTGTCTGGTTCAGACGTAATTCACTGGCTGGCTGGACTTTGGTTCTGCTGCCATTTTCCAGGTATGTGTTACCTGCAGTTATTTTAACATTCTGTTCATAGTAGGTCCATCTGGCCCGGTTCTGTTCTATTATATTCTATGGTAGTTCCATCTGGCCCGGTTCTGTTCTATTATATTCTATAG